ACATGTAACGACAGAAAGCAAGAGTCAAGCAACAGCTTGTTTATTAGGGAAATCAACACGTATATATATATGTATATATATATATATATATATATATATATATATATATATATATATATATATATATATATATATATATATATATATCATGTACATTATTACAGCTTATTCAAGCAGACAAACACAGTTTTCTGATTGGTTGTTTCTCACTAAAAGTTATTCTTTCATCTCTTTGTGGCTGTTTCTTGAGTGTCAGATCATCTATCTGTTAGTTGTATCCACCTACACAAAGTCTGCTGTCAGTCGCTGTTCTTATTTTCACATAACTAATATTTGGGACATGAACATTGACGTAAATTACTGTCTACCAGCTTGGCTAGCAGCAATCTCTCACCACACTCGTCCCCTCGTCAAATAGCTGCGCGCGCAGGCGTTCCGACCTTCTGGGTGATACACCCTCTGGTTGAGGATTGTTACTAACTGGCTTGTCCCGCTGCACCTATCGTTGGAGCTGGCTGGCGTTAACTCGTTTTCATTTTGTCACCTCTTCTGATGGTATATACCCGACCTCGTCTTTTTGTGATTGTGTATGGTCCTTCCCACTTTGGAAGGGGTTTCCGTGAACCTGGCCCACATCCAACCGTGTATCCTCTGTCTCTACACTTCACTTGGTCCCCGATAGCAAAAATAACGCACTGAGTCTTTTCTCAGCCGAGGCTTCGCGACATCCCTCCGCTGCTTCTGCATTACATTCTTAACTGTTTCCTTCCGTCCTGCTTTTAATTACGTCGTACTCCATTTTTGATGAAGGGGCAGGTCTCATTGTGTATCGGTAATCGTGGTTTTCTACCGTACATCAGTTGAAAGGGTGACTTCTTCGTTGTTTCCTTGGTGGTAACACGATGCGTTAGTAGAATCAGAGGAAGCTCCGCTTCCCAGTTACCGCCCTTAAAGACCAGCCACTACTTCAGTGTACGGTTGTTTCTCTCCGTCAGGTCGTTCGTTTGCAGATGATATGGGGTCATTCTAATCTTCTTGACGCCCAGCTGTTGCAAACGGGAAGTAAATTCCTCACTTTCGAAGCAGGGACCTTGATCTGTCAGTATTGTCTTTGGTACGCCGTGGTCTGCAACGATGTGTCTAACTACTGCATCTGTCACCGTCCTTGAGCATTGGTCTAGGATTGCTACGGCGTCTACCCATCGTGTCGCGTGTTCTGTCATCACCAAGAGGTACTGATTATCATTGAATGTCTGAGGAAATGGACCCATGACATCTACGGACCACAAGTCACCTATCGCCGTAACTAGAATCGACTGGAGCGGTGGTTGTATGCACCGGTCGCCTTTCATTAGCTGGCACCGTGGACATCCAAGTGCGTATCTTGCTACGTCTTCTCTCATACCTGGCCAGTACATGCTTTGTCTTAGGAGGTCGGTTGTTCTGGCCACTCCTGTATGTGCTAGCTGGTGACATTCTTCTATCATGTCGTGGCTCAACGATTGAGGTATGACGGCCAGCCAGCTTTCGTCGTTCTCTCGTCAGGTCAGAGTCCCGTAGGCATTCACTCTTAGTCGATCTCTCTGTCTGGGTAGTGTGGTTAGCTCCTTACTTGCTGTAGCTTGATCCACTTCTATTCCGTTGGTGATCACCTGTATTACTGTATTCAGCGTATCGTCCAACCTTTGTCTGCGTGCAAGTCTTAGTGGGTCTTGTTCTACTGCATGCACTCCGTAAGCGACCTCGGGCAACTCAGACTCATCTTCTGGTCTCGATAACAAATCTGCCAAGACATTTTCACTTCCAGGAACGTGTGAGATCGTAAAATCGTACTCCTGAAGACGCAACATCCACCGTGACAATTTCCCCCGTGGGTCTCTCGCTGTCTTCAAAAACTGTAGCGGCTTATGATCAGTTTCGATGTGGAACCGCCGGCCGAGTAAATAAGGTCTCCATTTGTCGATTGCCCATACCATTGCTAAACATTCTTTCTCTATCGTTGAATACTTTCGCTCTGTTTAGCGATCTTCATTTGTTATTTTGACCTTCAATATGTCCTTCTGACTTGACCTCTTAACTCTATTAATTTCACATATATTCCTATGACAAGTCCGTGTGTTATCAGATCGTTAGAAGTGTGTCGTGCAAACACATTACAGGATTCGAACGAATTACGTCTTCTTATTGCTTTGTTTAAATTCATAAAAGGAACTAATTGTTTTAATATGGAATTGCAAGCTTAGACAGTTGTTAAGTTTACAAAAAATTGATTTGTTTCGTCACTGTTATGTACAGCTGCCGAGTGGTTATTAGTTTTCCCCGTTGCCAATTATGTTATGTACTCGTCGAGTAGTCAATAGTCCTGACGCGGAATGAGGGAAGTTAGAAGACCACTAGGTTTACCATGATACTTGTATTTCCCAGACAAGGAAAATAAATGTCACACAAGTGTGTGAGTGAAATGATACGTAATGTACGAAAACGTGGGAACACGAATCAACAAGAATAATAAAGCAAGAGTATATATGAAAATGGCTAATACACATGATCCAATAAGATAACGTCTTGCCATGATTGGTTGTAATGTCATGTGATAATAAGGTCATACATTGTTTATTTAGTTAGTGGACAGACAAAAGCATAATGTCAGTTATAATGGAATATCGATCCATATACACATGGCAAAATATAACAGACTGTCAAAAACAAAACACACATCATGTGGATACATATCAGTCACGAAGATACATCAGCTGTAAGAGTCACTGAAAACCATCAGGTGATGGACAGACGTTTTCAGTGATGTGCATGTAGTCTCTCGAGGGGAATATTCAAGAATAGTAAACTTGAGATATAGGCAAATTATCCTTCAGCAAACCAAGAATTTCCAACTTCTTTGCCTTGATTATTGTTTTATCTTTTTCACATCCGAGATGATGAGTCTTGTTGAGCAAACATCATTAGGAGTCCAAGAAACCAATATTAGAATGTAGAGCACTCCATTTACATTCAAGTAGGCATAAATTTACATTTGATGCTTACAACTTTCAAATTTATGCAAATAGTAATAATATCCATCTAAAATCATACTTGTTAAGGGGATTCTCCAGTTTAGACATCTTTACATAAAATTCAGCCATATAGGAATGGCCTGAATAGCTTACTGGCGAAATTCATCATATCGACACTGAGCACGTAAAAGGCATTACAGTCATACCATCATGAATGAATGTCGGCGAACACAGAGGCCTACATCAAACACATCTTTTTATTGATTAACTTCTGATATAATCAGAGATTTCATATGCACAATTTGCTAGTTTCTTCTGTTATTATTTGAATGAATCAGAAGCCGTCTTCCCAGTGTAACATAAAGCTTCAAGTTTCAGTGACGGTGGTTTTAATTTTTTATGAAGTGAAGTCGCCAACTTTATGTCCAACCTTACCTCTTTACTGGGTTTACTACCGGCTGAGTGTGGGGTTTATGTGTGTGTCAGCTGGGAATAGAACACGGGCCATGTGCATGATTGGTGAGCTGTTTACAGCTGAACCACAAGTCAATGATAAAAATCAACTGGAACTTGTGTTTTCCCGTGTTTTTCAGTCCTTTCACTGATAGTATCATCACTCACTCGGGTGAGAATGTGACCGGCTGACAAGTCCGGAAACATAAGAAGTGCATGCCTAGGTTACCACAACAAATAACATCAAGTGATAACAAAGTTTTTGAAGCATTTGCCCCTATGCGAACATTGCTAACAAAAGGTTAACTGCTCTGAGACGAATCGATCATAACAATAGACTCAGAAAATACTTCCTGCTTTCATATTACTAAGATGAATTTTATGGCTGTCATGCTGTTTCGCTTGATGTTAGAAGTCTGCGCAAGTTTCGTAGTAACTGAGACAGTTTATAGACTTCTCTTCTTCTTATATTGGACCGAAGTGCTTGGTGTTTCAAATGATGGATGTAGGTTACGAGTCCCAAGAGGGACACAACTGCTCATTGAAATGCAAGTATATCCAGATGGTGGGTCACAAACACGACGAAATGTGCGTCCTAAATTCCACTGTTTGTCATCACCGACTAAAATAACCTCTATAACTCAATGATCTGCCATTTATTACATAATTAGCTAAATTGTTTTAATCTCATAAACTGACTAAACACGATCGACTGTTTTTATCTATGCACTTCACGTCCCAATTATAAAATGATATTGTACTTACATGAGATTACCCTTTAACCTAACAGGTTTCTGAGTTTGAATGTTATCGAAATCCTAATTTTATTGAGAATCTTATCTTATGTGGAAGCACTAGACAACAACTGCCAACTATCACCCACTTTTATTTGTCTATATTTTTACCACTTATAAACTTTTCTGGAGAACAGTTACCGAGTTGTATCAATATGTTCATGATATGGTGAATTTGACATACCCAAGATTGGACTTAGTAGCATGATCCATCATATCAGACGAGAACAAATTTTCAAAAGAAGCTAACCAGTAAGAAGAAACTGAGCAAATCGAAGGGAAGATAATGCAAATGCTGAAGAAGATGAAGAACGTATCGATTATTAATTCTGAGTTATTTGAGCCAATACGAACCTCGGGTTTTGTAATTTCCCCGGTCATATGGTCTCCCGAAAGTGCCACTACGTCCAATCTTGAATATGACAAGTTCACTATATTAAAAATCATTATTAGTATAGTACGTAATGCCTTTCTTGCGTTTCGGGTGGGACATAAGGCTCCACTGCCATTATTTTCACCTGTCTCCTCAGATGTCTTCATTTCATCTTCGTATATGAACCCTATGGCTACACTCAGATGCCCAACCTGTTACTTCCCGTTTAGGTTCCCCTTGAGAGTAGGGAGTGTAGTGCCACCTGAATGCCTCCTAGGCATATGTTTAATCCATCCCCATTTCCTTCCGCATATGTGTGTTAGGTGACAGGTTATTGACTAGTTCGCTGCACAATAGAAAATATACACATTGGAATTGACAGAAAATTAATATTCACTCTGTATAAGGTAATCACATCACAAAGAAAAGTGTAACGCCAAAAAAAACAAGGAGAAAGAGAAACCAAAACAAATACTCTGGCTTTTATATGATTATTGTTATTAAGTTACAAAATTTTGTAATGTGAATGAAAATAATGCTGAATAGTTGTTTAATAACAGCAACAAAAAGAAAGGATTTTTAGAAGCAATATAAATACTACTACTAATAATAATTCAATTTATTTAACATTATTCGACTTCAATTGATGTCCTGTACCACCGAATGGTTTGAAAACGGATTCCTCAGTTTTCTAAATAAATAAATAAATAAACAAATCATACAGAGAAATACTTAAGCGGAATATAATCCAGAAATTGATGATGAGTAGTCTTCCCCTTCAAAAAAATGTCATACAACGATTATTTCCTTAGTAAGAAGTAACATGATATGAATGCACAAATTGTACCATTTTATGATAAAAACAAGTCAAGGGAATCTTTTGCTTGGATTGAAAATCAATTACAGTTTAGTCATTCATCATTTAGGCAAAGGAAGTATTACAACTATGGACTGAATAATTAGATCAGCCTATTGTTGAATTGTTACGAATGATTATAAGTCAAGATGGAGTAAAGAAGAGATGACAATAGTAACAATAATAAGCCTGTTTAATAACTGTGCATTTACTCAAAACTGCTAATTCAAATTAATTTGCATTGCCCATTGATTTGATTATGTTCAGTCAAGTGAAGTGTTAAGTCTCCCTTGATATATCGGCTCTTAATACGGACACTTCAGCGATGTCTGAAGATTAATACGATTGATAGTGAACGGCAGTGGAATACAGGATGCACACTTGACCCTATTTAGGACTCGTCATCTGGAAATGCCTACCATCCCCAGTGAGTTATGGTGCTCTCATCGCGGTTCAAACCCACCACCGTTTCAAACGCCAAAGAGTTATATACCAGGTCATTGGGTCAAAACAGCACCAACCTCTTGTGCACCCGGTCTCAGTGGCTTAATGGAGATAATGTCTTGGCGTTTGAAACGATAGGGGCACTGGGTTCAAGTCTCAATGGGAGCACTATCACGCACTGGGGATGGTAGGCATCTCCAGCTGACGAGTGCCAAACTAGGACGAAATTCACATCCTGCATTCTACTGCTAGTCACCATTCACCAAAATAACATTATGAAGTTATTTATATTATTAGCTAAAATTATCAAAAAGATGAATCTCTTCCAAGTACATTTTTTTTCGCATTCGTATCCTCTAATGAATTTGAATTCGCAGCTGAAACATATATATATATATATATATATATATATATATATATATATATGAATACATTAAGTGTAGAACCATTAACTAGGATCTGATTGAAAAATAAATATTTCTTCGCTCAGTTTATAGTTTTTAAAAAGTTTAGACAGAGGTTTAGGCTACACTAGAAAAGCTTATTTCATAGGTAATACTCGAGTGTATCTTAACAACTTAGGCACTTGACCCGGACAACTAACAGGTTCAAATTCTAAAACTAGGTCAGTTTATCTCATGATAGGCAGCCAAGTAACACCACAAACGCTTACATATATAAAGGATTAAATGTGCAATTTAGGATATCATTTTAAAACGTCATCAGTAAATATTACTGTACAGCACCACTGTGTGATTTATCAAAATAAAATCTTATCCACAGTGGAGCATTTTAAAACCGTTTACAGAAGAAATTAGATGAGGATAAAAGTAATCTCGGAGTGCTTTTGTGCATACTGTATAGCAAACGGCATGATAGATGTTTCAGTTGTGTAAAAGATATACAAGACACCTTCAAAACAGCTACATAAAACATTTGTGGTGACTACAGTATCCCTTTAAACACGCAATGCAAAACCATATAACACAGTGCGTAATATAGTTCCACTTCATCTTTGCCGTCTTTACTGTTATAATAATCACACTGTTAATTTTCTAGAAAACACTTGACTTAAAATTCTAAAATCTTTATACCAGTTTATTTATTTAATAATGTTTAAGTTTTGTAATTTATTCACTCCAACTCAACCCCCTTAATACATCATTTTAATTATCCTTGTTCTTATATTATATGTATGTTAACTGAGCGATTTCTAGTGTGACTTAATGCCATTTCCGTAGTATAAATATGACTGTACAGCTTGAAAATGAAGTTGCTGAAAAGAGATATTTCTTCGCTGAACAATAACTGTGTTCATCCTTATGAACTAATGGGTATATTTAGCTATAACACAAACTGCCTGAAGAAATCTAAAATTGACTATGTTTGTTCTATCCTATCAAGGAGACGGAAATGAAAGGCAGGTATATAAGTTTGCCAGTTACCTACATTCTCTCTCGTTTAACAGATGTTTTTCCGATTTTTACACAGTTGATCCCTTTGCATTACTATGCACTGAAACACATCGACATTATATGCTTTTTATGGAAGAAACTCACACCTAAAACATTAATTCATTTCAATGCAAAACAGAAAAGAACAGTTACTGAGAAGTTGACCAATTGTTCAAGGCATCACATGTTATCTTAGTCACCGTTTATTCCTAACTACCATATCAGTGTAGTACAAACTTTCAAGGCATGTAGTAAATAATTTTTTATTATGACTTTTATTGGGGAAAAGTGTTTAAGGGCTTTGAGTACTTGGCTTTCGTAACCAGTATAATACGGATTTGAATTTCACTTGGAACATAAAAATTTAGGCAGTAAGGTAGAATTATAAATCGTCTCATGCTAAGTGTGTAGCTCATTTCCATGTGGGCGCACATGTATGTAATTATCCCTTAGTGCTACGGAGTGAGGCTTGAGCTGTCAAGTTTTAGTAGCGGTGGTGTTTTTTTTTCGGGATGAAGTCGCTAACCTCATGCTTAACTTTCCCTCTATACCAAGTTTACTACCGATTAGGAGTGAGTCGGCCGTGAATAGGACCCGGGCCGAGTAAATTGTTAACATGCATTCTACTATTGAACCACTACTGATGCACAGTACGTAATCGATGAGTAGTTTTCTTTACAGAATATGAAAACAAATTTGAAGAAAGCACTGAGGTTCTTTAGTGTTATATACTCCCAACTAAAACCGGTTTAAACCGAGATCAACAAATTAAACCCCTTGACTGAGGCAAAAGATTTATTACGATATGACTGGATAATCAGATGCCCGTCCTTATACAATTAACCAAATTAGTTATCTAACTGGTTCCACTTTCTAAATATTGATAATGTATAAATATAATAATGCAGTTTTATTTAGTAGAGTGAATAGTTCTCATCGTCTCAGGAAAGATGACAAAAGCACTTGAGGTTCAGTCTTCAAGTCGGGTTTTTAATGCATTTTCATATTGAGACGAGATCACAGAACTATTATTTGTAAATAGACCACCACCTACTGAAACCAATACATTATACTTAGTGTGTAGGAAGGTTATCAAGTTTCTTTTCAACCAGGAGATCATATAAACTTTTGAAAGATGAACAAAAAAGATGGGAAAATGTATTTACCTGAGCAGACAGATTCTTTAAATTTCTAAAGAATGTTAAACTTCCAGGTTGATAATTATAGTTTGGTACGCCTCTGTAGAAACAAAAAAGGAATTGACAATTATTAAAGATATATATATATATATACTAAATAATTAAGTCAAACTAACGAACTAATAATCTAATGAAATCCGATAATAGAAGAGGAAGACTACTTCAAAATATTTTCACTACTTAGTGTTTTCTTAATTTGTACAACTTAGAAAATTGTAAAAAGTGTCACATTAAGTTTGCATTGACTGACTGAGTTTCAATACAGAAGTTTGCTCAGAAGTGTATCAGTTCAAGTTGCTGCACTCTGTATATTAAACAAAGTTAGAGGATATGAAAAGAAATTCAGAAGAACTACAATGGGCAAAAATGTACGGGAGAGAGAACAGAAAGATGAAAAAACATGATTATTTAATAGATCTGAGAGACTATGAAGAGTGTGTGTATCTGCACCATTGAGAACGGTTTTGAGTTACATCATCAACAGCAGTCTCAAACCATTGGTTACTAGTATCCCTAGGACTCAAACCAGGCAGTCTACGCTTCACTACATGGCTCAAAACAGCTGTCAAGGCCTACAGGGATTCGCTACCACTATCTCTTTTCCAAACTAATCCTATGTCAACCAGCATCGCACGACAAGGAAAGCGGTAGCCCGGTATGTGTGACAGGCATCCTAGTCATCTCAATCTATATCACTTCACGATTCGTTGATTGACTCTCCTTCCTTACCTACGACTCCACGCTAAATCTTGGTATTATTCACCATATAAGAAAGCAAATATCTGTAATTTTCAAAGGCGGCTAACCTTTTCATACTTCCCACCTTCTGTGACCGTGTCTCACAACCATAAACGTAACTTCGACAACCGCGGTGAACGTTTTACACTGTAGATTACGTTTAAACTTGTAAGTCATCAGTTTTCAACCCCAACAGATATTCGATAAATTCAAAACCATACATATTCCAGTTTTGGATTTGGTTAGATGTTAGTACCCGACGTTAATCTAATCTTAACCTTTCCCCTTTATGGCTGTGAGCAAGATATGGCCACTGAAAGTGGAAGACATGAAAAGACTAGTTGTCTTTGATTATAGGTGCCTGCGTTCTATCTCCCATGTGAAGTGGTGTAATAAGGTGAGCCATTATGAGGTTAGGCATCGGTCGAGTGTTGGGTAAGGAGGGGAAATCAGTCGACGAGGTTGTGAAGTTAAATCGATTGAGATCGTTAGGACATGTGTTACGCATTCGCTGCTAGCCATCGCCTTCCTCGACAATGGGTAATCTCAGCTGACTAACATAGGATGGATCAGGTTGGAAAAGAGTTGGCTAGTGGTGGTCATACCAAAACACAGCTGCATCAGTCAATGAAATCCACAACAGTTAGTTTAAGCCAGCCACGTAGAAAGGTGTAGACTTCCTGACTGGTTGGGGTCCTCGGGACGGTAAAACCTAATGGCTGGAGACAATTGGTGATATGGTTCAAAATCGTAGTCAGTGGATGGCGCAGATGCATTCACTCCTTGTGACTTATAATATCCCATAAAACTATATTGTTCTTCTATATTACTATTCTTTTTGCCTCTCACTTCTGTTGATTATCTCTGTTTTGAATCTCTTTTTACTTTGTTCCCTTGCTTTATGTGCTGAGTGAAGTGTGGCGACTCAAACTGCTGCATATCAGTGTAAATTTCTACGTTGAAACTAGTTAGTCCAGTCAGTAAATCTTAATCTCTTCATTTTAGTCCTGCTTATAGATTTGCATTACCTAAACTTATCATTTCTCATCAACCGTTTAAAGTTATCAGTACACCTGTTGGTTTAACAATAAACTTTGACCGAGTCCAAAATAATACCTAAAGTAAACATTATTTTGGATACTTAACTTTCAAAAAGCCTACGTGAAACCTCATTTAAGGATCACTTTGCTAGTCTGCCCTTTACAAATGATAATGTTATTTTTATTCATAAATCGTATATTTTGTACAAAAACAAACAGTTCTAGAAACAGAATTTCACATACTGCACCGGTTCAAGTACAAAATGAAAAGAAAAATGTTTGAATGAACAGTGAGAATGCAGAGGAGGTCTCCACAGAACGACAAGTGGACAACAAATGCAAGACTTTGAAAACAATCAAATTATTACAAGTGTCATTGTGATAAGTGTGGGAACAAACACCGATATTTACTTATGCAGTGATATAACTTCCTACCAATTCAAGATATATGGTGACTTTCAGCAGAAAAGAACTGGTATGACAAATGATTAACAAGAAGATATGGAGAAAAAAACGGAAACACATCACCTACCTTTCTCTCTGTTTTGACTGTCCTGACGATTGACTACTACCTAGTTCGTTAGTTTTATCTGCTTTATTTTTTCCATCTAATCGATAACCAGCACCACTAAATGCCTATAAATATAATATTGAATCAATAATCTAAAAAATCACTTAAATTAATGAAAATAATACTTTATTTATAGATAAACGAACTAAACTAATTGGATTGTACAAATACAAAAATGGCACTTATTGGTTCTTCTTGGTTAATATATTAATCCACGATTAAACTAAACAGTTGTAGGTATCATTTAATTTTATAAAGTCACTTGTTTCTCCGAAGCTATAGCAATATTGGGGAAATTATGACAATTCATCAAAATTTGATGCATTCAACCAAATAAACTTCCCTACAGAAGCATGACAAACTACTCCTGTTTTACATGAAATAACTACTAGAATTAAGTAGTCAAAAAGCAACGTCCTCATACTATGAGTAAATTCAGTAACAAAAGCTAACGAAGAAAGTTGAAGTTTTGATTACGAGACGAGAATAAGGCGACACATGATTCTTGAATGTATTAACTTTTTTTCATTTATCTTTCCCTTTCTTTGCTTAAACTCATGTCATCATATTATTTCAGATGGCACATTCTTTAATACACATGATATGGCAATCTATTTCAAATGTAGACGAGTCAATAAAAACGGCTATTCAAGCATTAAAAAAACACAAAAATTGTTGAACAAATCATGACAATTTGTGCGACTGGAAGTAATGCTTAGAGACTGTTATTGACGTAGCTCAAAATGTAGTCAATGCTTATCATAATACTATTTCCGAAACTCCTCGACTGACCTTCATTCAGTTGTTACTTTTTTCCACATCTCCACCTACTGTAGTTTCATTACATTTATTTCCTTTTCCTAAGCGATACAACTTCAACAAACGCACCCAAGTGTAAAGTTCAGTCTTCTGATAGTTATAAGACTTTACAATAAGCGATTAAGTTTTAATAAATAGTATCATGAAAAGCCACAAGTGATGGTAAAATTTAGATTACATTACCTGGAATCCTTGGGCTATTGAAGGAATTTCTATCGGATCTTCTTCAATCTACAAAGGAGTTTATGTGAATTAGCCAAATAAGAATGAACACATATATGTGTATGCAACTTCATGTGACATTTTTTCTTTGTACATCAAAGAGAACTAATTCCGATAAGAGCTGAAGGCGTGCAGATACAGGACAAACACGTGCATCATGTAAAATATGCTAATGAAGAATTATCAACTGCTTAAATTTGCAAGTTGAGTAGCGAACAGTGTCAACACATGACTTGTTGTACATATGTAAATACTGGTGAGGAATTTATCGGAATGCTCAGTGAAATGGCAACGGAAGGCAGAAATAAACGGATCTAAGTTCAAAAATACTTCAAGCGATACGAACAACTGTGAACTGACAAAACATAGAGGTGGAATAAAAACATTGATCAAATTTTCAAAGACAGCCGAAATGCCTTTTTCCAATGCAGTGTTGTAGCCAAATTGACCTCACACTCAAGAATCAATAGTTGAGACACCATATAACTGAAGGCTATAGTCTCGGATATTATTTCACTTCATGTTATACACTAATGTTTCCTAATGGTTACATGCAGACATACTCGATTTTCTCTAAAGAAATATCAACGTAACTGAGCCCCGACCGATAGCGGCTACCTTGACGTGGTGGTCGGGCTTGCACATCGCGATGACCCAACAAGCTGCACTGGCTGGAACCAATGTCCCTACAGGTTTTACCATGCCAGGAAGGTTGTTAGGACAGCGATTAGACTAAAAGCAGTTACCGAAATCGTGTAAGAATCTTTCTTACACTATGCTGGGGGTCTGAGGGCGAAGTCGTACTGCTGGGAACAGGGGTGTAACAGCAGTGAGGTGTTTCCCTCAGATGACCAGCATGCCAGCTATGCTGTCTCTCCACTTTGGAGGGAGGGGGTTAAAAAAAGTCGACCCCAAACATTGCACATCCCGACCTACCCTACGGTGGTCCGTAACCGGCGGTAAGTTTACTAATACAGGCCGTGTGTGACCGGTATCGAGCAGTTTTCCCCTGAGCTCTGCGGTCAACGCAACACTAACTTTCTCTCTAACCTTCACGCAAAAAGCAAAACGTTCAGATATAGTTGTTTTAGCAGGCGACTTCAATGCCCAAGTAGGGAAGTTGTGCCAGACTGAGAAGTATGTAGATGGTACGTATGGAGTTCCCTGCCGACGAACCGACAACGTTGATCGTCTTCTACAGTTCTGTTCAGATAATCAACTGTTCCTAGTCAGCACTAACTTTAGGCACAAAGAGAGACACTGCGTAACCTGGTGACCTCCATCACCAAATCAACGTTGAACTCAGATAGACCACATAGAGATAGGGTATCGTTGGTCAGGGTCTGTAGAAGACTGCTGCTCCTTCTGGAACACGTGCGTAGACTCCGATCACACCCTGGTTTGCGCACGTTTATGATTACGGTCAGACGGACATAAGAAATTGCTGGCAGCGAAACAGTTACGTCCTCAACTAGATCGAGACAATGAGTTCCTATTTAAGGAGGAAATAGTGAGACGTGTGTCTGAGGTCGACGGCAGGACTTCCCTGAAGTAACCTGGCACAACATACAGTTAGCTGTAGACACAGCTGTAAAGGCTGTTAATGACCTAAAACCAAAAGTCAGTAAGAGTCAATGGATTTCTACCACTTCGTCTGAACTGATTGACGCAAGAAGACTGATTCCGGCGAGCTCAAAATACGATGAGGAGCGATAGCTGCTCATACCGCAAACTAACAAGAAGTCTTCGCAACGACCGTGAACAGTGGTGGGCGATAAAAGCTAAGGAGATGGAGAGGCATCGGCGATTGGCAACAACAGACAACTATTTAGGCTTATCAGGGAAACAGGTGGTAAAGGGCAAATGATAAGTAAAACAATCTTTGAGAAAAATGGCACCATAATTCCCAGGATAGATGACTAGAACGTTATAAAAAACACTTCGAGAAGTTTAATTAACCTACAGCCACGCTCAACTTGCCGAACATCCAACATCTCCCTGAATAGGATATAGACACAGGTTCTCCGTCCCTAACTGAGGTGACTAAAGATGTCACTAGTCTGAAACAAGACAAAGCAGCGGGACCTGATGGAATGACCTCAGAGGTATTTAAGTATGGTGGAGACAGTTTAGTGTCTGCATTAACTGAGGTACTATGCAGTGTCTGGGAATCAGAGGAAGTCCCATCGAGTTGGTGTAAGTCACCGATCATTCCCATATACATGAAGGGAGACAAGTCTTCCTGTGATAATCACAGAGGGATTAGCTTGACTAATATAGTATCTAAAGTCCTAGGATCAATAATCATGCGTAGGCTAAGTGGTGCTCGGGAGGCACAAACACGAGAGAGCCAGGCAGGCTTTAGACCAGGAAGAGGGTCATATCATCATATCATATCTTCACCCTCCGACAGATTCTACAACATGAGCATTCCTACTGGTGTCCAACAATCATTATATTCCTTGACCTAAAGACGGCATTTGATTCTATCGACCGAGAGGTTCTCCGGCGATGCTTGGCTGTAAAGGGTATGCCGAGAAAATACATTACACTGATTAAAGCACTCTACTCGAACTCAAGCAGCCAGGTGAGGGCTTACGGCGAGTTGTCATCTGAAGTGGTGACAACTAGTGGTGTCCGTCAGGGATGCCCATTATCCCCATTTCTATTCAATTTCACAATAGATAGATAGATAGACTTAACTCTAACTCACTTCAGAGACACAGAGATTGACTTGCCACCAGGGAATAATCTCGTTGACTTAGAATATGCAGACGATATAGTCCTTCTAGGCGAGGACGCTGACAAAATGCAGTCTTCTGAACACCTTGAGCTGCGATCTAAGAATGTTTGGCATGCGATTCGCTCCCGCCAAATGCAAGATGATGCTAGAGAACTGGACTACACCGACTCCTATATTAGAAATAGGGAATGAAGTGGTAGAGCACGTTGTCCGCTTCACTTATTTGGGAAGTACCATCAGTCATCGCCAACGGGTTGATCTCTGACGAAATCTCATCACGGATACAGAGGGCTAGTTTCGCATAAGCCAGTTTATGCCGTCTATGGCGTAGGCGTGATATCAGGCTGGCTATCGACCAAAGGGCGTGTGTACTGCTCATCAGTCCGCTCTGTCCTCCTTTACGGCTGTGAGACCTGGCCATTGAGGGTGGAAGACATGAAAAGGCCGACTAGCTATCTTTGATCATAGGTGCCTGTGCTCTTTCTCCCGTGTGAAGTGGTTAGGCATCGGTCGAGTGCTAGGTCAGGAGGGGAAATCAATGGGCGAGGCTATGAGATTACATCAACTGAGATGGTTAGGACATGTGTTACATATGCCTAGTCATCACCTTCCTCGATGGGCAATGCTAGTTGACATAAGGTCAGGCTGGAAAAGAGCTAGAGGTGGTCAGAGCAAAACATGGCTTTATCAGCCGATGAAATCCACAACAGTTAGTTTAAGCCAGCCACGTAGGAAGGTGTAGACTTCCTGATTGGTTGGGGTCCTCGGGACGGTAAAAACCAATGGTTGGAAACAATTGGTGATATGGCTCAAAATCGTTCTCAATGGCGCAGATGCATCCACTCCTTGTACTTACTTTACTTCGGTTATCTCCTACGGGAGGATGAGCCGGCTTCATGAACCATGAAGTTTCATGGGAATTGGGTACGAGTGATGTCCCCAGCATCGCTCGGCCTTTTGTTTGAGAGTGCAGCTCTAGCCTTTACACAACTAAGTGTGACCTACAAGGTAGTAGGAGTGGAGTAGGGAGTCCACTATCCATTGCCAGCCGGTGACCGGAGTCCGGTTCATTCGCCTTTTTGAATGGGGCCAGTCATCCAGGGCATCCAATAAGCCCTTTGTCCATACGTCTGCCAGTGAGCTCCGGTGAGCTTCATATGCCAGTCGTTGGAGGTTTGGAATCAGGGTTTAGCCATCTCCCCTAGACTGTCATCCAATGGACAGTCAACCCGGTGAAGAGCGCCGGGCATCCGCTTTTGCCCTCTCACTTTGCTGAAAAACACCTCCGCCACATGAAGGCAGTGAGTAGGACTTCCTCAGGAGGGGCTATGTAAGACGCCCAGTCATATGGGAGAATTTCAAGAGGTGTACGGAGGGGTGGCCAATCCGCAGCGCAAGACACCCACCCCCGACCATCCTGAGGCTTTGGAGGCTTATGATTTCCAATGAATCTGTTTTGTTCTTCGTTATTACTCTTCCTTTGTCTCATACCTCTGTTTACTGTCTCTATTATGCATTTCTTCTACGTTCTTGTCTTGGTTTGTGTGCTACAAGGAAGAAGTGTGGCGACTTGAAGTGCCACACATATGTGCAAAGTTCTGTGTCGAAAACATACAGACTTAACTGAGTGACAGTGTGCACAGGCATACTAAGTCATCGGTCGACTTTCTAAGGGTTCGACCATACCACCCAGATATCTTCTATAAATTGAGCATGACTTGACTCAAGGAGTGACGCTACTTTCTAAATGAATAGTGTCTGGTTCGATTACTTCTTTTCAACAAGACATCGGTTTAGTACAAACTATTGACATCTATTTATACTTTAAAGACAGTGGACGCCACTTCATGCCCCAGCAAAGTCAATAATAGTTGACTGAGACTCATAACCTAGCTTTTTCACGTCCATATCTTCTTGTTACTTAACTACAGAACCAAACTTACCTAAAAGTAAAAATAAATTGGAAACAGTGTACCCAGAAAACTGTCACTAATACCGAACGTAGTAGACAAGATAAACTCATTTATTCACCTGTCAATTCTTTTCGTTTCTACTACATCGGTGAAATTAATTAGTCTTAAGACTTAAAATCGAAACCAAGTTCACACAGCAGTACGATGAAGCGAAATAAAATTACAGAATGTTTATATATATATATATACATATATATATATACATATACATATATATACGTCAAGTAAAAACCTAGTTTATGAAATCGACTTAAATATATACTATATAAGAACTATTAGCTTTCACTTGCATCAGTAATTAAGAATAACACATTGGATGACGAACGTAAAAAAATTAAGAGTATACCTTATTTGCGTCCTTTTCAGCTCGTTTATCTGAGGAACCAGAATCAGCCGCCTGGTATCCTACTGGGGGTGCAAAATCAACCTGCAGGGATTATTATGTAAGTACGATCATTACACTCATGTCACACTCAATAATAGTGACTGCGTCCTTCGGTTTGGTTTCCAAAACTTTGAGCTCATATATTCGTTCATTATAATTAATAGCAATGATGTCGCCAACAGTGAGGCAAGCGAAATCACGCAAAGCGTTCTCGAGTCTAAAACAAGAAATTACAATTTTAAACGAATTTACACAGCCTTTGGGTTTGAAATGTCAAGAAAATCACTGCTCTGTGGTTGAAAACGAGCGAAAGAGGCAACGGGAAGAGAGGCATTAACGAGAGAAACCAACCCACCCTCCTCTAGGCAGAGGTTTTTAAGCATCTGAAGTAAAACATAAATGTCGAAAACCTACCCAGTAAGGAACATATATTCTGCCCTCATCTGCCACAAATTCGAGGACGCCACAGTGGGTGGTACGGTTAGCTTGTTGATTAGTCAATTTGAAAAGCATTGGGTATTGAACATTAAGACGTGCTGAAAATTTTTAATTGAATTCAACACCTACTTAACACATCCAAAGCAGATGGAGGCATAATAACTGAAGATATTATCACAGGCAAACAGCATCTTACTTTTTCCACCCTTTTCGACGCTGGATCGAAAGTTGTCAGCCAGAAAAGAAACTGGATAACACCTGTACGAGGTTGTGAATGGAGATGAACTATCGATACGTTGAAACTTAATAAAAGAATAGTGATTAAGACAACAACTTACGAAAACCATTCTATGTAACGCCGTGTACGTATTCCACACTTAAACTTTCAATATCCAATATCGATTGTATGTCTGTGGTTTGAGATAATTGAACAAGCAGATATATTGCAAAACGCTGCACATCATCCTAAGTGCATCAGTTTGAATAGACGTGGTGAATTATACCTGCAGTGAGTTTTTTCTGAATTTTATCATAGCACTAATGGAATTTGATTTAATTTCAGTTTATATATCTTCGTAACAGTTGCTCAGAAAAGTAATTGCGGATCAAACAAATAATTTGCGCGTCCAGACTCTAACCCTCACCGAGAGTCAGGGATTCACAAACGGCCTACAAAGTCGTTCCAAGGGTAGGGACTCAAAACTTAAGATGACACATGGAAACCTCATTAAAACTGACATCATCACTTACACTAACTCCATCTCTTATGCTCAGACATTTTTTGTTTGGTATGGCTTAACCTGATGGTCACCCTAAGAAGTTGGACCTTGAAATAAATCAATTTGACTTTACGCGATTACGGTCCTGATCCAAGGGCTGTTTATTCACCGCCTATATGATTCAAACAGTACCAGGAGAATACGCTCGAAGAAAGGTAAATGTATATACCTGCAACTCCAGAAGAACTCGGAATTAAACAAATGCTAGGTCGTTCTTTCTCAGTATTCTGTAATGATGTTCAAAAGCAGGGGCGAGGACAAAAGATACCCCGATGTATTTTCGCACATCGTATGAGTTATCGTGCTTATGCGTACAGAGGCGTTATAAGCGTATCCTTTGTGAAAATGAGGCAAAAGTAATCAGTTTCAGGTTTCTGTGGTGGAAAAAAGCCATATTTTCTTGTACTATGATAACAATAATGCGTAAAACTGTCTTGACATCCCGAGTGAGTAGTTAAGAAGACATGAACCTAAAGAAATTATGCATAGAAATAAATTTCTTTTTTATTGAGAGCCTTACAGGTTTGACACGTAAGTGTTTTTAGACTTTTAGGTTGTGGATTGGCTACAGGCAGTGGTTAGTGTCACAGCAGATATTCTATGAGATTCAAGCTTTTAACTCATGGATCGAAGAAGGAAAAAATTCGTCCACAGCTGCACAGGCATATGACGAAAACCACAAAATTGATTGGAACAGTGTATTCTAAAAACTAATATGAACAAATGGGAAGAGAAACTTATAGCAGAATCTATATCCATTAAGGTCACACCGGATACATACAACAACGGTGACTCAGTACAACTGTCAACAACCTGCAATATAACTCTGAATACACAAAAATGAATCAAAAAATAGATCCACATATTTGATACAAATCATATATATGTGAATTAAAAAACAAAACAATTCCAACAGTTGGTGCGAACACAGGCGGTAATTTGGCTCGAAATATTACCAAAAAACAAAAACTTATCATTGTGTGTAAACCATTGAAAGATAATTATAATTTATATGACCTATTCCACAGTGCTCAAACAGTTTACTGACATTATTCTGAGCTCCCTCGGGAATCATCTTTGATTATGTTGGGTATCGCGTTTGCACTTATGGTTCATCTTCGAACATTTGTTATTAAACAAGTTTCCTGGAGGGACTTTTTTGATGTTGAGGTCAAAATGCTGAAGCATTAGCAGGTTTTGCATGTTATTATCCGTGAAGAGACAGTTGGTGAAAATGAACGCGACATCAAGCTACCTATCAAATCAATAGGGATACTGCAAATTGCTGATAAAATCTTCGTCAGAAAGAATACTCTGAACAGATGAAAACAAGTGTTATTCCAGTTTCGATAGCTACTATATTTTAGGTGTGTGAACCATCTCTCAAGGTTCAGAATGACGCCAAAGCATGAATTCGTCATTTTCTTAGTCCTTTACTTGACAGGAGAAACGATGTATGTGACAGTCAAAACTAATGAATAATGCTGTTATGGCCAGAGAATGGGAAAGGAGAATGAACCTTTGAGTGGGCAAATATAGAGTGCTTAACTTTTACATTATTTGCAGGCTGCAACGGATCCGACAATGCACTTCATTCACTTATTTGCGGAATTCCCGTAGTCAGTCTACCTGGTCACAGCAGTTTAACACCGCTGAAGTAATTTCTACAAACAATCCCACGCATGCATTAGCTTGTTAGTGCTTTTCACTAAATACACCTCACGTCCTGCTTACTTAACTGTTCATATTCTGTATGGCTGAAAATAAATTTGTAATCGTTACCAGATGGAGGCTGGACGTATCAGTGAGACCCGAAAAGGTGACTGGTGGCATAAATCGACACTAGTGAAATAAAGCTGTGACTGTCACAGCTCCACCTACTCAATTATTCTTCTCATATACACTCCATTTTGCATCATACGCTAAAACCCGTGATCATATGGATTGACATAATGCTTTAACTGAAGTAATGGTAATGTTGTACTACTTGTAAATACACTAAATCTATGGTGAAATCAGACTCTACTACAGTGCCAAACTTCTATTCGTATATTTCGAACACATAGTTTGGGTTTTTTATTGGCTCCAACAGATTCACCCGGAGCTAAGAGACGTTATGGTGTGACTTTAGGCAGATATTTGGGCCCGACTAACATCCCTATATGTCATCACCTATAATAATCGAAAGTGTTCGTGCAGAATTACACTTACGTAGAGTACCAGGTTCATATTTTAGAGACTACTGGTGTCAGTTACGTCTCATAAACCGTTAATGCCCAGCTCTCGCTACGCTCGGGCCCACGCTGTTCTTAGAAGATTTCTCAGAAACGCTTAGTTATAACGGACGCAAAAACCAAAACACCGATCTGCCGTTTGATATTTCTGTATTGTTACACCAACATATAAAAGGAATAAGCGAACTAAGCAAACTAAGGTCTGAAAACTAATATTACAATAATAAATCATTGTTACTTCTGACGATATTTTACTCTTCTTTCTGAACAGCGACCGATGAGACGATGACTGTCGTATTGATGCCTCCGCGAAAATCGGGGAAGTTGATTTTGAGCAAACAACCAAGAATTGATCGTTCAATCTTCAACTCCATTGACACTCCCCGGCAAAAAAGGGATCCAACCCTTTTTTCCTTCACGATCAATGCACGTTGACTTGGATGCCATTGCGAGAACCTGGGTCACACGGACAGAGCTGAAATGGAAAACAAACAGAAAAGCCAACACACCACAAGCATACCCACAGCACAATCTCACACATCGCTGACGACCTGCGCCTCCAGACAGAGACCTCCTCTTGACATCTTCCAACACAATCGCCACTTACTAGAATGACTCTTGCAGAATGCAACGTGACCATAGCAGCACCTCATGATACTCTTCAAGCATCCTCTTTTCTATTCACTATCAATTATCACTGAAATCGCTTGTCACTCATTCTGCCTCAGTTCTAGTAGCGGTGACGCATGCGAGCCTCAGTCGTTTACACTCTTTCTCCCCGGCGTGTCGGACCGCAGCTAACAATTATCTCCGTGTGCATTTCATTCTCAGCAATAGCCTCCCCGGCGTATACGACCCATCTGCTGTCTTTAACATCAATCAATTCATTCACAAATGTAGAAGACTCGAAACAACTTCAGAAGTAATCACGACGAAAATTTTAACAAAATTACGCAATAACAACAAGATACGAAAACAACAAGTAAACACAATGAATCCAAAAAACACCAATTGATATGACACACCACACATATATACAAATAGTACAAATAACCTCGCGGATCATGTCTTGGTGGAATTACTTTGAAGAATTGCAGGACTTACACCAGTACGCCTGCAACCCTTCACAGGTTGACGATTGTAAGTTGTGGAATGTCCAGACACAAACAAGATTAACCAACAATTACATCAATTGGAACTCACACAACTATTTAACACAAACATATGTACAATCAACACATCAAATGTTGTGGATTCTGACACGACAAACTACCCTTGAAGAACTGTAGGACTTACACCAGTACGCCTACAACCCTTCTCAGGTTGACGCCCTAGGTTGGAAAATCGTCGCAGAGTTCATTTGCTAACTTCCTTCTATCAGCTATATCCTCAAATCTGAACGGCAACACGCCCATGTCATTGTATCGTAGAATATAGATGACCAACAAACACACGACATATCTCATCAACCAAGTATAGAAACAGAGTAATTTACACCAAAGATAATAACATTCAAATAGTAACTTGAAACTAGAAATGCCTTTATTCGTGCAAGTCAATTTAACAATAACTCTCTCCTTTACACTTGGCTTATCCACACTAAACTGAGCAATATCTTTCGTCCTTTCAAACGCACCAATACTATCATAGTCATTGCACAAGATACTTGAGTTGATGGGCATCTGTTTCATTGTGGATGAAAACACCAACGATGACTGAGTGACACAAGGTGATGAACTTAGCGGTGGATCAGAAGCTGTTCTTTTTCGGCTTTCAGATAGTTGTCCAACTGCAAGATTACCACCACTGCTGTCTTTCACTACTAGTTCGGGTTTAGCACTATCATCTGATGATAGGTGGGCTACACGCTGATCAATTACACTGACTGTCTCACAAGTATGCACACCTTTTGGAACTGCATCTGCGTTCAATTCTACTTCACGTTGTAGTTGTACAGAACCTTTATTTAACTTAGCAGTAGTAGGCATATCCCTCATCTCATCATGATCAACCAAAGACAAATGTGCACTATCATGATCATTATCACGAATATTCAATTTACCGTCAAGTTCATCATTTTCAAACTCTTTAATAACAGAAGTAGACAATTTTGGTTCCTCCTCACAAATCATTAAAGGTTTTATAACTTCACTCTGACTAGTTATACCTTGTAAACTTGTAGGGTCAGAACTGCACTCTGAAGCAGCAACTCTATTCTGTGACACTCTATTCAACAACGGCTTACCAGTTGCAACTACAGACTTCTTCACCGCACCGTTATCGTCACACAATTCGGAGTCAGGCCTGGAGTTTACATTTAGCTTATCACTGAACTTGCTCACTGGTTCACAGTTCACTTCTGTATGCACCTCTTGCAAACGTGTAAAACACAACCGTGTTTGTCTTGCATCTTGTAACTTATCTGTTGAGGATGTACTACGAAACCTGTTACACTCACTAGGTCTATATGCATTACTAGACATCATGGAGCCTTCTCGATATCCACCTCTCTGAGGCCTACTCGTCATCAATGATTGCATTTTAATCTCAGACTGCTCTATTCTAGGGGTGAGATCTAATAGACTGGCGAACTTGCTCATAGATTGATTGACACTAGTATTTACCAGTTTCAGGATATCATCAAACTTTGGCTCGATACCCTCATCCTCCATACGGGAGCTTATCTTCACCCACTTCCTTTGCAGTCGAGTAGGTAGACGTCTTGCTATTACTTCTAGTATAAAACTCGAGTTGAGGTCACTCACGCGATTCATCGAAATCATTCCATTCTTGTAAATT